GACCGAAAGTTACTTTTCACTTTAATTCAGAAATTTCGATGAAAATAAATAGTCATTTTGTGTCGTCATAAACGTCAACATGCGGGTTTGCATGATGAGCACGGGAGATTACTTCATAATAATATTGATTGGCATAGAGTTTTTTTCTGAGAAATTTCCCGTGAAAATTTATTCACAGACTTGTGTTCTAGGCAGTGAACTTTTGAATGATGACTATTTTCCCCACTGTTAACAATGTGAGCTTATCATGAATATGTTTAATTAATACTGAGTTATTCAAATAAAGGTTCTGGTGTCTACCAGATGTTTTGTGATGTTTTGTTGTACCATCATAAATGATACATTTTGTGGAGCAGACTGCCTAATTTGATGTCATGAAATTACACACAAAATTAGAGCTCAGGTTGCACCAGCAAGCACCATTTTCAGCATGCTGTTCTTGTTTTCGGCGGACGACAGAGGGGACACCTCCCTCTCCTTCCCCGTTGTGCTCAGTCGCGGGAAAATGCTCCGCAGTTTCCAGACAAAGTTTACTAATACTTTTTTTTCTTGATTAGTAAATTTACTATTACCTAGCAAATTCCAGAGAGAGCCCAGGGTTGGGCATATTTACCTATAAGACTATGTTCTATGTTTTTGATTCACATAGCAGAAATGGCCAAGGTTACATGGATAGTGATGGAAATGCTGTTTTGGTTGTTCTTCATAATTTAATTCAAGTTGCTGCCCATATCCAACACTTAACCACCACTTTAACCAAACAATCTCTTGATGTCGTAGCATTTGAAATTACCCCATTCCAACTTAATAAGTTGAACAGTCGCTCAAACTTAAGTTGCAATCTGTCATCAATAGTTATCTGAAATTCTAAAACGAAATAGTATGCATACCTGTTACATAATGAAATAACCCAAACCACCGTATATCCCTGGACAGCTAGTTGAAAGATTTGATGCTACGTGAAGCCTTTCACCTGAAAGATTACTAATTGTACCACTTTTGGTCATGTGACCATTTTTTTGGCCCCTCCAGATAACTATACTTGTACTGAAGAGGTGCACGTAATTTTAAAACTGGAGAAGCAGGGTGAGGATAAGTGAGGGTGCCACTTGCACACTCTCACCAGCACGTTTATTAACTGCTATTAAAAACAGACCTCTCAAATTGACCAACTTAACGCTGAAGTTGATGAGGAGATAGAGTTTTCTCTTAACTTTCAAAAATTGGAAAAAGAAGGGGTTTGCACTCACAACCAGAACAGCTACAGCCTCTAATGAGATATTGCGATTTTTTTGGGGAAAAAAGGGTCATATTGACGTAAAGTGGTATGCATTGAATAGTTATGAGCAAATGAAAAAGTCTTGTTTTTTATGTAAAATAGTTTAGGCAATATGACCGATTGCAAATCAAAAATTTGTTCTTGTACTTGCTTTAAAGTATAGGTTTACAGTTTTTGTCTGCTAACACAGGATTTTTACCTGAAAACCTACACTTTCTCCTTGTGTTTCTAATCAATACACTGCCATATTACATTCCAATCATAAACGTCCCTTTAAGTACATTGCTGTATACACTGAAGAATTAAGTAAGCTATGCATTTGGAAGTCTGATTTAAAGTGCGATAATTGTCGTGCCACGCATGCACGATATATATGGGTCTCATATAAACAAAGATGGCGACTTTGACTGATCAAGCTTTAATTGGGTATTTTTTAGGTGATTGGATTTAAGGTATCAAAGAAGTCACTGGCAATAATTAGTACAAGTTTGGCGACCAGGTCAAAGCTCATACTTGCGCATTGGATTTTGGAAAAATCTGTTTATCAACACTAATGTCGCACATGCACAACACGACGACTACCTCCCTCTAATTTGCCTTCAAACTTGATCACTGTAAACCAAATTTGGTGTTTTTCCATGTCATTGCACCCAGTACTCAGTTTCAAGTATTTATACAGGCATAACCTGTATTTGAAGGGTTTTTTAGCACTTTGTAAATACTTGAAAATTGTCAAGACAAGTTTAGAACATGAAGATCAATTTTAACAGTTTGAACGGGAACTGTGTCACTTTCAATGACTTGTTTTTTTCGTTTTCACTTGTCGGTCGCTATCCATGCCGAGAGACCACCGACGAAATTACCATGGAGTTACCAAACTTTACCGACACAGAATGGACACAGTACCTCTATGACCACATGGAAAAATAAAACAATGTCTGTCGAGATGCAGAAAGCTACTTTATTGTCGAAATTTGGCCTAAAAATGATTTGCCACTAGTGTCCATGCAAGTAAAATGTAGAAAAATTGTCGTTCAGAAAATATGTGTGCTAATTCTATTTCCTCCCTTTATATACACAGGGGGACGTCGCAATAATCGTAGTTGGTCATAATTTTGGCCGTATTTTATCATTTTTAGGCCAAATTTCGACAGGATACATGTCCTCCAACAGTCTGTGTATGTGCGTGCGTGCATCTGTCCGTTCGTCCGCCTGTGTGTGCAACCGTGCAGAGTTGTATTTCAGAATCTTTTGGACCAATTTCATTCATTCTTTGCATGTGCCTAGTACCATAGACCTTAGAAAACAGGGACATGCTACTGTAGGTATCCCTTTCATGTAACCTTAGTTATAATCCTCTACCCAATTAACACCTTAGTGAAACTGACAATAAAGCTATGTCAACACCACTGTTACATCCTCTCCTGTTACATAAGACAAACATGGCAGCCAGGGAGTAGCTACACAAAATGAGCCAACTTTGTGGTTAGAATATAATCAGAAAAATTACATTTGATTAAAACTGAATAGCCAAGCCCATTCCATTGATACAAGTGAAACTAAAAATTGCAAAGTTAAGTTGTTATTCCACTATGAAAACAGTAAAGGGAAATAAAAATGGGCAGTTTTCTCTCCAAGAAAACAAAACTGCCTAAATGTAAACAATGACCTGTCAAAATTTGTGTCATTATAACAAGTGGATTTTTCATCATATTTAGAGCAGATATAGCATAGTGCACTCGTTATACACTGACTAATGTGAATATTGGCACAGCATAACTTATCAAACATATAAAAAAAGCATAGAAAGGTAAGAACTAAAACTGTTTCAGATGTATAGGTATATGTATTAATGGAATTATCTATACGGGGGATTATAACCCACATTGCACACAGGAAACTGGATTTTCTTTTGTCTTAGAAGTTGCATGTCCCTGTTTTCTAAGGTCTATGCTAGTACTTTATGTGGGACATATCATTTTTATGATATTTTATCTTATTGTCTTTCTTGTTTTTTCTTTCATCCACACTTTACTGTAATTTAACTCAAGATCCTATAAAGGATACAATATCAATAAAGTTTATTATTATTATGCACATGCAGTGGTTTAGTGATTCGATTCAAAATGGCCGACTGGCAGCCATCTGTCTTTTGAAAATGTTGTATTTTGGACATGTCAGTTTTCATTCAATATTGGTACATAGATTATACATGTTGGGATAAATGTCCATGACGATTTGTTTCAAAATCGGATCAAGGATATCTGATTGACAGCCATCTGACTTTTTTGCCTTACTACAGTCACTTGGGGGCTGAAAATCAATAAATACTAATTTAAAAAAAAATCATCCGCTATACATATATAAATAAACAAGTTATGAAACATGGCACAGAGTAAATCGACACCCCGTCGGTTTCTAATTTTGATTTCTTACCTTAAAATGCAAAACAACAATTTTAGAGGGAATCAGGTGTTGCGTTAATAACCATTGTTCATAATCGCTAACTTGGTTTTATTCAAAACTGGACAAATCCCGCGTTTTCTGATGATATCCGACGATTTCATGAAGTACGCATACTCATTTTCAGCCAATCAGGCATACCGTAACAGCGAGTATTTCCTTGATTTACCCAGAACTCTGTGCGAACTCTCCTTGATTCTGGCTGTTGGCCATTTTCGTTCATGTCAATTCTATTTGCAATATGATCAAATGTGGCCGACTGGCGGCCATCTTGTTTAAAATATGATAACTTGGACATGCTTTCACTTGTCAGGCAACACAGTCTGTTGTATACTCCACTTTGGACTCAAGTTTCAAGGACACGCTCGCAACAACCTCTCCACTTTAATATGACAAGCACAAAGAGAACTTTCACAAATTTAACGGGGACTGTGTCATTTTCAATGACTTGTTTATAAAATGGCCTTAGCACATAACAGAATGTCAAAGAGCTCCAAGGTAACATGCTTTTGAAAAAGGAATATCGTATATCCTGTGTACCTTCATTGATTTGGCAAGATGAAAAGATGGTTAAAGCAGCAACATGCATCTCTAACACTGTTCATTTGTACAGTTCAATATTTGTTTCTCATTCTATCTTGTATGGCATACTTCACAAAACTGATGAGTAATGTTGTGAATGAGTCATCGTTAAATGCAATGATTATGTAAAATCAATATTGCAATATGTACTGTAGTTTATCGTTGCTGTAGAAATCAGCCACCAGTCGGTCAAAAGGACCTAGTTTGTTTTTGGCAATGATAAACAAAAAAATACACCGACAGAAAATTGTGTTCCTGTTTTGTTGAGACCACCTATATTCCATTTTCCCTTACTGGAGAACAAAACTGCATGTCTGGTTTATAAAGTGTAACACTGATATCTACTGTCATCCTTTGTCAAATGTGTTAAATACAGGCAGCAGTTAAACCATTTAATTTACATGCCTTTGTGAAATACTGTATTACATGTATGCTTGACTATATTAAATATACTAATTCATGAAAAGTGTATGTACCAGTATTTGTCATTGTGAGTAATGAAGTGCAAGTTATTACATGTATAGCATGATGACCACTGCCCTTTAATCTTTACTTTGACGACCCTTTAATGTTGCTCAGAACCACTTTCATTACCAATATGTACATTAACATACAAGTCCCATAGCAACAGGACACTCCATGATGACCATCACCTTTTAAGTTTGACATCTGACATTTATTGAAAAATGGCATGAAATGTTCAAAATACTTTCTGAAATTTGGTGTGCAGTCTATTGGATAAGTACCTTACAAATAGAGGTTCATGATTAGTCGCATGGTGTGCTCTAAAAATTGGGATTGAATACAAACTGTAAAAAAGACTTGAAATTAGGGTACACAATGTATTTATTATGGCAAAACATGTAACATTAGCAATCATGATTCTGATGTGAAGCAATTCAATCGTGTATACAGTGAGGACCCTTGACAGGCTGATGAGATGGAATGTGCCGTGTGGTGGATTAAATCCATGACTACCCTTTACCCATGAATGCTAAAATGATACTGACAATCAAGGAAGAGAAATAACAGAAAAACAGTGTTCACATACCAGTGCTAACATTTCATTTAATCTTAAAATAAGTACAATTCATGTGATTTATTTACATTTGTTACAAATTGGGTTCATAAATAAGCTATAACATGGGGTAGCCACCAACTGTGTTGATGAAAACATCTACGATCGTGATTTATCCATTGAAATTAGGCACTAACTTTTGGTTGTGTCCATCTCGAGCCAAACTGAGCTATGTCAAATATGCAACATTCCAATACAATGTTTTATTTGGAGATCATTTTTCCGCCAGTCTGCCATATTTAATCAAATTTTAGTTATAAATCAACAGCCGAAAACACGTTTTTTTTTTGGAGTGAAGTGGGTCACCTCTTTCTATGTGCTATTTGTCATTTACTGTAAAAGGATTAATTATTCACTGGGTTTTAATTTTGCTTATTTCGCTGACTGGAAAATGCGCTAAATTAAAACCCACTGAATATATGTAAAATTTAGCAGAGAACACATCGTCTAAATGATAAAACAGAGTATTTAAAACCCACTGAATATGCCTGAAATGGTAAATCAGCGAAATTTAAACCCAGTGAAAATTAGTCATTTTAAAGTACTTGATGGAAATCAATTCTTAACACAAATTAAAATATTTTTGTACAAAATTTAATAATAAACTACACATTCTAACTGGTATTTATTGCATTGCACCAGTGTTGCAAACAAGTTCATGATACAGCTCATATGAAAGTGCATGTGTACTTTATGTTCAATGTATTTCTCTGGAACAGTATTTGTTGAAATTTGATCTATTATGTTCCATGTATGTCTGAAAAGTCTGCATGATCAAGATCTAGAATGACAGGAATGTTAGGATCTTGATTTTTTAGCTTTTAAATTAGAATCATTTGGTCATCTTGAATTGTATCGATTATGTATATATTTAACATGAGATGTATAATGTACATGTGAAGTCTGAACATGTTAAGGTATGTCAATGATATGGATCCTAAAATGTAACAGGTTTGAATAAAATCCATTTACACACAATCAAGATCTGGTCCGAAAATGACAAATGCTTGATTTTGAAGAATTTTATGCATTAAAATGGCTGCCATTCGACAATCTTAAATTGAATCATGAAACAAGTACACATGCATATGTATCCCATGATATACGTGTGAAGTTTGAACATGATTGGTTTAGGTAAGTGCGAAATATGGATTCACAGAGGTGACCAGTCATAACACTGAGTATATGAACCAGACAATATTGTCAATGAGCAAGGATAGTTGAGTTATCCACACTAGCAGTGTACTGTTTGTTGCAAGGAATTGATAAATTATGATAGATTGAAAGCTTTGTAGGAGCATTGCAGGATTGTGTGGCCTCAGTGTGTGTTCAAAAAATATGCTAAATCATAACATTATTCAACTATTGTCTTCAGTGTTCTGACGAAGTCCAACTTTTAAATATGGATCTAAATGTTGAAAAATTTGGCGTGGCAGTAAGTTGACTAAAGTCCTGATCTCCAAGATGGCACGGATCTGTAAAAACAAACAAATAAACATTTAATACAAAGATCCTTCAATGGTCAAGAATACCAGTTTTGTGATTTCAATTTGCTTTGTTAATAATTGGGATGACCAATATGCAGAGCAAATAAAACCATACCTATGTGGTATATGCAGCATTTGTCCTGAGTGTGAGCTTTCTGAATCCTTCTGTCTTTCTTTCCACCCTTCTGTTAATTTATATAATCGAGACGGATCTCTCTGAACTTGAACTTTGACCTGGAGGCAGTAAACATTCAATAGATTACAACACAGTACTACTCTTTATTTTGCTCAGTGCAGAAAACTTCTGTCATACAACAAAATTGTTTTACCTGTCCCTTCAGTTTTTCTAATTGTTGTTGTTTCTTCTGCCATGCAGCTTCCTTGGCTTTCTCTTTTGCTTGTTTCTCTATCAATCGCCTCTGATCTCTTTCTTGAAAACGTGAAATCTCAGCCTCCGCAACCCGTCGCTTCTCCTCCAGCTCAATTTCTCTTCTAATCTGCATCTCAATATGTTGATTTTCCTCTTCCTCCTTCTTCTGCTTGGCATATTCTCTCACTCTTGACTTGAGTTCCAACTGCAATAAATATAAAACATTTTAGATTTCAGGAATTCCATTTGTGGGTTATGCTTCTAAATTTCAGATGGGTAAACACTATTTGACACTGCATAGGTGTAATTCAATTTTACAAGTACAGTTTGATATACTGAACATACATTGGAAGTTAATCTTTCAAAGAAATCGCATAATAATACAAGTCATTGTCAATGACACGTCCCCGTTCCGTTCATATTTGAGTGACATATACATTCAAAGCAGATCATGACCGAAATGCACCTGCATATTTACCACACATTGTGCTAAATCTGAACAAAATCCATCCATGCATGACTGAGATCCGGTTCTGGAATTGTGAAAATACGTGATTTTGATGCATTTTCGGCCTTAAAATGGCCATCATTCCACTATTGTTAAGCAGATCATGAAACAAATGCACATATCTATTTGTGACATGATGTACCATGTGTGTGTGAAGTTTGAACTTGATCAATCCAGACATGTCTTGGATACGGATCCAGAACTGAATTCTTTAACAAAATGGCCGCCAGTCGGCCATTTCAAACTTGATCCGAAAAAAAAAAGACGTGCATCAAGGTCCTATTATGTTTAATGTATGTACCAAATTTGAACAAAATCCATCCATGCATAACTGAGATACGGGTCCGGAATGGTGAAAATGTGCGATTTCAATGCATTTTCGGCCTTAAAGCGGCCCCCATTTGGCTATCGTTAATGAGATCATGAAACAAATGCACAGACATATTTGTGACATGATGTACCTTGTGTGTGTGAAGTTTGAACTTGATCAATCCAGACATGTCTCGGATACGGATCCAGAACTGAATTCTTTAAAACAAAATGGCCGCCAGTCAGCCATTTCGAACTTGAT